CAGTTGATAGAGTACTGGGCCAATATAGCAAACTTCAGATCAGGAAGCTCTGAGTTCAAATCTAGTATCAGATATTTACTAGCTCTATGATCCTGAATAAGTCACTTACCTTCGATTTGCCTCAGTTTCCTCAACTGTAAAATGGGGATAATAATAGCACCTACCCTGTAGGATTTTTGTATCAAATGAGAAAATATTTCATTTAAAAAAATAAAAGAGAGCTCTTAACATAGTGCCTGGCACATAGTAGATATTATAATATAAATACATAATATATAAATATGATGTAACATAAATATATATTCCCTTCCCTTTTGCCTCTTAGAGGCAGCCATGGTATAATGGTTAGAGGGTGGTCTCAGAGCTAGGAAGACTTGGGGTCATGTCCTACATCTAACGTATACAGGTAACTCCTAGCGCTCTTCTAGGTAACTCTGCAGATGCAGAGAAGTTGCCAACCATATTGTCAGATGGTCAAACAACAAGCATTTATTAAGCACATACTACGTGCCAGGTATTGTGCTGAGTAGAGATACAAAAACATGCCAAAAACTGCCCCTACTCTCAAGGGGTTCATAATCTAATTGGGGAGACCACATGAAAAATCTATATCTTTATATACAAATAAGATATAGACAGGATAAATAGGAGATAGTGAAGAAAGGGAAGGGAGGGGACTCAGAGTTCAGTTAATAAACGCACAGATCCAGTGTCTAACCTTAGCCATCTCTTTAGAGCCACATTCTTTCTAGAATTTCCATACATGAAATTATGTTTTCCATTTCTCTGAACTTTTGGAATGATGTTTTCCTAAAGTCTAAGGTATATATATAACTATGTCCAGCTTTTCTTCCCTTGACTATTACCTACTGTAAGATAGCACAGTACTATCATTAACCCAGTCTTCCAAGTCTGAAATCTTGTTATTGGTCACTCTTCTCTTTTCATCAGAGTATATGTGTATATATGTGTGTCTGTGTGTGTGTGTGTAGATGTATGTGTGTATATGTGTATGTATGTATATATACATATTTATGTAGATGTATGTGTGTATACACACATATGTATGTATGTATGTATGTATGTATGTATGTATGTATGTATGTACGTATGTGTGTGCCTCACTTAATCCTTACAACAACCCTATCAGGTAGGTACTATTATAATTATCCCCATGTTACAGAAGAGAAAACAAGCTCATAAATGAGAAATTAAATTCAACAAACATTAGCAACTAGTTCTTCCTTGTGAGATGGAACTAAATCCAGAATAGTAGTGTCTCATATGGTTTTAAATTAGGAACATATATAACACAACCTATTTGTAAGTTGGAGACTACATATATATGAATCTGAGGTCCAGTTGGTTAAGACCTACTCCTTTTCCCCAGAAAGTGCCTCTCTGAGTCACTTGCATCTACTAATCATGGCAGCAGCCACCTCCTCCCTGCACCTCCTCTTTCTGACCCCCCAAAACACAAAACAGTATTGCTGTTTGGATTTACCACATTCTAGGGACAGCTTTATGCCAGAGCATACACATAAAGCTCAAGAACTCTAGAAACAGTCCTACCCCATACAAAGGATTCCAACATCATTTCCCAGACAGACCCAACCACAGAACAATCTGTTAGTTGAACCTGCAAAGGCTAGTCTCACGGACCTGGTGATATAGAGTACCCCTGGGATAAAGGAGAATTGGGCAAGTTTGAAGCAAAATAAAGGAAATTAAGCCTGTTTTCATACAAAAAAGATTGCCTCACAAACTGTTTTTGAAACATTCATGTTTTCAGATTTAATATTTTAAGTGGAAATTAGCACTAGCAGCAATATTTTCTCATAAAACTTCCATTCTTATCAGAGGGAAGACCAAGATTCTGAGAAATACAGTTTAAAAGTTCCCTGATTATAGTCAAATACCCCCAGAAGGGCACTTTTGATTCTTGAGTACAGAGGCAATACTATATTCTGACTGTCAAACTCCTGGGATATTTCTCATGGGGGGAAAAACATCTTGTCCTATGGTAACTAGTCCTCTTGAAGTATGCATTGTATTTGTACCAAGTGTTTGTTTATGGCTTGCTTTGCTTGAGTGGGTTTACATGCCCAGAAAGTTGAACTTTTAACCTCAGTCAAGTGGCTGAAATGTGAAAGCTGGGAGAGTAGGATTGAGCTGAGTATATTAGAAGTATCATTGTATTGGGTGGCCATGAAAGCTATTTCTCTGTTGGGACGGATGTTGCTGTTTTAAAAGCTAGTACATTTTCCTGAACAAAGAGCAAATATGTCTAGACATTGATGAGTATTTAAGGGCAAAATGGAACATAGATACAGTAGTTCAAGAAGTTCTATTTTATTCAGTCAACTGTTCCAACTATATAAAGAAGGCTTTGCTACATCTGTAATTTCCAACGGCTCATGGACAGGGAATTGGCCATACTTTCATTTCCCACTAAACAATAAGGGAGTCAATGTTTTGAAAAGCACCCAAATGCTTAATCTCAGCATTTGCTCATTTATTTATTGGAGGACGTCATAAAAGAGCATACCACTCTATAACTATTTTTAATCCAAATCAATTAGGAAGTTTATGAAATCTAGGAAGGAGAAAATGATAGGTTTTCCCTGCCCATTTAACATTTGACCATACTAATGACAAGTCCAAAGATATGTCTTGTTCAAGTCAGGTTTAAAGAATAAAACTCACATCTGGCCTGTTACTCCAAACCCCAGATGTTCCCGACAAATGCTTGCTAACTAAATGCTAGACAGAGATCAAAAAGTCATTTCACTGGGGTCATCCATCCACCAACAATGGAAAATTACTATTTCGTCTGAAATGGTCAGAATGTAAAAGTTACTCTTTCTATTATCTATCAGTGGCTCTGGCTACTTCAATACACAATTGCCTAGAACAGCATTAATTGCCTGTACCCTGTTCTACACAGCCACCTAAGCCACCCAGAGTTAGTCACTCTGCCAGATTTAGAATCTTTGCCCAAGTAGTTATTCAGTAGGCTTCTTACCTTGCATCTTATAGGATGAGGCAGGTAAACAGTAAACACTGTGTCCTGATTTTTTTGGCATTATTTTTTCCCCTCTTACATTATTAGCAGCATTTTTGAGTTATGACCACAAGGTGGCAGAATTGTAACATGTTGAGATTGATTTGCACTTCTGTAACAAAGGTACGCATTGCAATAGGGGATTTAAAAAGTCCGTGCTTTCAAAGCAAGCTGGACAAAATATCTCCATGATGAGGCTGGTATACTTCCTTTGCTTCATATTAATGTGAAGGATGTAAAGCCATCTTACAGTATGCATTGAAATTAACGGTCCCTTTAAATTGCCTCACTGCAATCCCTCCTGATTTCTCAAAACAAAGCTATATTTATTCAAGGTAGAGAATTCAAGGTACCTCAATCTTGAATGACAAAATATCATTCTGTTTTTTTCTAGTATCTAGGCACATTCTGGTTCTCCATTAAAATGAGAAGGAAAGGGACAGCTTAGGCGTGCAGTGGATACAGCACCAGCCCTGAAGTCAGGAGGACCTGAGTTCAAATGTGGCCTCAGACCAAACACCTGACACTTACTAGATGTGTGACCTTGGGCAAGTCACTTAATTCCAATTGCCTAAATAAAATAAAATAAAATAAAATAAGAAGGAAAAACAAAACCCTTGCCCTGTATTTGGAACCTGAGAATCCATGGTTAAATCAGATGCATATTACCTCTCTGACCTCGTATTTCCTCTCTGGACCTCAGTTTCTTCATCTCTAAAGAAAACAAAACTGGCCTAGATGATTTTAAGACCCTTTCTAGCACTAACACTTATAATCCTACTAATTGGTACCATAAAGTGAATGCTCCACAGCCCTGTACCTGTAATGTAGGAATTCAAGAAAATAGAGACGTACACCCAAAGGAAAATGCCTTATGAAGATGGCAACAACCATGGTGGAGAATCCTGACACTTTGGTGATGTAGAAACTGATGGACACACGGAGTGGCACTGACCCTCTTTCAAATTAACCCACTGTCCAGTAAACATAAGCCCCAGAGGTCCTGCCCATGGGAAGCCAGGGCATCTAATCTCATTAAATTAGGAGCTCATTGAGGGCAGGGACTGTCTTTTGCCTCTTTTTGTATCTCTAGTGCTTAGCCTAGTGCCTGGCATGTAGTTGATACTTAATAAAAGTTTAATGACTAACTTATTGACTGATCTAATGTCTTACCAGTGAAAGCATCTGATTAGAGGACCCCCACACCCCCACAATTTAAACCCAGGATTTAGATGCATTATCCAAATCCTCTTGTACATAGCCTTTCTCACTTCATGTGTACAATTGCAAATTTTGTTTTTAAGGGAGATGAAAGCAGATTTACTAAAAGGTCATTGTTTAGACTCCTGTTCAATAGTAAACAGCTGTAGGAGTCATCTTTGAAGAGGATGGGGTGGGGGTTCACAAAACCAAAGCCGTTAATAGTTTCCTACTTTGGCAATAACACTTAAGTTACCTGTTGTCGGTTGCCATTATTTATCTGCTGTGATTTTGACTAATCTGAGAACAGTGTTTCATTAACCACTGCTTCCGCCTCTTGTTATTTTCTGCTTCTGGGGCAGACTGGTTACAGAAGTCACACCCACAGGCCACATGACATTTTTTGCCTCGATGGTGAAAACTTCTTTCAGAGTTCCCTTTATCGGTGGGAACTGCCTAAATCACAGATTCTCAAACTTTTTTGTCGTGGACCCCTTTAGCAGTCTGGTAAAAACCCATGAACCCTTTCTCAGAATAACGTTTTTAAATGTCTAGAATAAAATGCAGTAGAATTAACAAATGAAACCAAAACATATTGAAATTGTTATCTCCCCAAAATGATGGTGGTGGCCCTTTTTTTAAGTTCACCAACCCCAGGTTAAGAACATCTGAGCCCTGATGATCTTTGTAAAACCACTGGCCTTTTCCAATCAGGGATAGGATGATTAAATAGTACCTTTTCCGCAGACAGGGAGTGGCCTCTCAGGTCTGGATCAGCTAGCTTCCTGTTTCACAGAGAATACAATACATACACTCCGCCAGTTCTCAGGGGCACGTGTGCAACCTCAGTTTTTATGGGCTCAAGCATCCAGGTGGCCTGGCCTGGAAAGGAACAGGTGCTGTCTAAGACACATACCATAAATGTTTTGTATAATCCTAGTGTCATTTTGTCTTCTTTTTTATTATTACAGTAGAGAAGTTCATAATTATCTATTTAACGTTGTAATCTACAAGACTTTGAGGGTAGCGGCAGCAGCATCAAAATAACCTCCTGGTGATATTCCTTCAGGCTACCCATTATTCCCTAATTCCTCATTCTTACCTGACTTTTTCAATCATCCCCTTTTCAAAGAGAATAGTGAATCTGTGTCATTGCAGAGAGAGTTAGGAGCAGTTTAATCAAATTCTGCCCTCTCACGGATTCATTCACTGCAGGCAGGAATCTATTACAGAATTTGCAGGGATGACCCTAGCAGGGTGAAAAGGCATGTGTATTATTGGGGCTATTTTCCTTGGCGATGGAGATATTTCAAATCTGTGAATAGATACCGTGCCCCCCACCCCAATTCTATTTGTAATATGGACTGCTGGGACATTAAGCTCCTAAGACTTTTCCATCTGTGCTATTTTTTGCAGTTAGCCACTGTGTCTAGGGGAAGGTACTATATATTCATCCCAAATGGGGTTCATTAGTGCAGATGAATAACGTTTCCACCCACTGCTCTTTGAATATCAGTGTGGATTGTTGCCACAGTGTGTCTTTTTATAGCCAGCCCCCAAACAAGCCCATCCAGTCCCGGGCGGGGGGGGGGGGGGGGGGAGCAGAGAAGAGTGGGAATGCATTTCCATAAAGAGTGACTTACAAGCATTTTCAAAACACTTAAAGAATTTTACCTGCTGTTGCAGAGCTTTTCTGTTTGGCCTAGCTTAACAAAAGAAAAAAAGAGGTGGGGGAGAAAGGGATAGAGAGAGGAAGGGAATAAAATTTTCCTTTGCAAATAGCAATTCCCCAGGTTCTGATGAGTCACAACTGAGGCACACTATTCAGGAAAGAACAAATTGGCTTTCAGGTATTGCTGAATCCTGCTCTTTGGACATCATTGCTGAGTCAGCATATAGTCAGAGGTTGGGGCCATTCATAATGAAGCGGGGCAGGACTCAAACGTAGATGTGTTGGTCAGAGTGCATGCTTTCTAAGAAGAGTCGCCATTGCATAATAGCTTCTCATAAGTTAAGAAGGAAGGGAATGGGGACCTTTTTCATTCCAATAGTCTCTGGTTATCTGTGGGAGTAAGGGCTTCGAGGGACAGCTAGTTATTTGTCTTAGGTATCTATGGAAGAGCCCCTAGAATGTTGATGGTTTAATGGTGTGAGTCTAGTTACAGTGAGTTATGGCTAAGAATGTGCTGGGTTGCCTAGCAACAAACCATTAAGGGTTTGAATAGACCAACTTATAAGTTTAATTCACTAACTTCAAAGTCTAAATACACCATGACTTTCTAAAGGACCAGACTTTTGTTTAACAAGGAAAGAAAAAAACTGGAAGGAAAAAAATGTGAAATGTTAACATTCTCTTTAAAATCTTATGTAATAACAGTAATAGCTAGCATTTATATGACTCCTTAAAACTCATAAAGCAATTTATATACATTATCACATGATCCCACATCCTAGGTATATATATTGACATTTTACTTGGTTGGGAAGTTTCAAATGAATATACCTTCTGAAAACAAAGCTCATTTTAATGAAGCTGGCCTAAGTACAGAAGGGGTTAGAAGGTGATTCTGTCCTTTGAATGCTTCGGTGGCAGCTGAACAGGGCCAGACACTATCACTTTCTCAGGGGCATATCTGTCAAAGGCAGGTCAGGGTTTCAGGGGAGAGCCCCACACCTCCATCACTTGGAAGGTGAAATGGGCAAGCCCTGCTCAGGCCTTGGACAGATGCAACTCTCATGAGTTTATCCTAAGAAAGTAGGAAAAATATTACATTAGCTAAGGATTGGGTTACTGGTATCTACTTTAAATAAGGTAGGAAAGATACCCACTCCACAGCTCCCCCCTTTCTCCCTATGTACCAACTCAAGGTTCTGCCCCCCGCCCCCAACCCACTCCAACCAGCCATGGTAAAGAGAGCGTTCTACGTCTGGAATATATCCCCGGGCCTCCTGGCTATTTCTACCTATAATAATGAGGTTTCTGACAATGCGTGTTACTAGAATGCATTGTCATCATTAATAGGTGTATTACTGTACCAGAAAGATGAACTCCCACAATAAAAGCAACACTTTTCTTCTTAGGATATTTTTTTTAAATCAATTGCCAATCAGTAAGTATTGATCTGATTACTCAGAACTGGGTTAGATGATGTCAAAAGATATAAGAGAAACATAAGACATGTTCTCTGCCCTTTTACCACACAAAATGTATATTCTTGAAGCGATTAGGAAACAAGAGCCTCTTTGTTCAGTAGCCAAATCCACAGTTCCACCACTGACCATTACCTTGGTGTTTCACAGGGACCCTGTGCTGCAGATACAGAACCAGCTCTTTTGATAGGAAGCAAGCAGTTTGGACTTTCAAGAAACAGCCATATTGCAATTGCTTTTGATGACACCAAAGTTAAAAACAGGTATGTCTGATTCTGATATCTAACAATAATTATAAAACAAGATGAGCCCTAACAAAGGCAGAGCAACAGGGTCTTTTCTCCAGGGTGCTAAAATATAGATAACGCCAATAGCATGAACACTCTTGCAACTAGAATTAACTGAATAAACAACTGAGTTTATCTAGTTACCTGGTTAGCAAGAATGATTAGTTAAAATAAGATGCTACCAGATAAGGACTTACTAGTTACTACACTATAGGTGAGCCACTCCTTTCCCTGATGGGCAGTGTGCTTTACTATGCCCTCAAATCTCTACCCATTTGCCAATGTGGGACTCCATGTGTCCCTCTTCTCTAACCCATCCCTACTGAATTTGTATTTGAAAGTTGAGTTGAAAACACTTTTCAGTGCTGTTTGCAACAATGTTTTGTGAAGATTATTTTTTTTTAAATTCTAGTCTTTTGGGCTCTAATGACAAGTGATCAATGAAACTACTCAATATTTACACTCATACCAGTTAAATAAACGCCAGGACTTCCCCCCTCCCCTTGTAATCCAGAGCAAAGTAGTATAGAATTAAATATGTTGGGTCTGTGAGACATCATTCTTTGACATAGTAAGTCGTCAAAATCCTTGGTGCCCAAAGCTTATGTACTACAACTTGGGATAATGGAAATTTGCCCCATCTGTAGGAGGTCCATAAAATGATTTCCTGCAAGCCCTCACATTATTTTATTTTTTAATCTTTTTTTTAAAAAGTTTATTGATATACTTTTCTTTTATACTACAGTTATTTCGGAATATAAACTGCCTCACAGACTCCTTTGTAACAGGGGGGAAAAAGTTAGGAAAAGCAATCAATATAGTGACCCTGACTGACAACATATACGATATTCTGCTACTACTGTAGTTCCCCATCTCTCTGTTAAGAGGACCCTCCCCCAAGTCATTTAAAAAAGAAAAAGGGGATTGTTGCTTCATTCTCTGACCGAAAAAAAAAAAAAGAGACCTTTGAAAATCAGCAACTGAACCCTGGTCTTCTAACAATAACTTCAAAATTTGCAGCATTTCCACTGACTTTGAAAATTCTTACATTTGCAGCCTCACAATTGAATTTGAAATACGAACTGAAGCTGAATCAGGCTTGATGTTTTACATGGCTCGGATCAACCATGCCGATTTTGCTACAGTGCAACTGAAGAATGGCATGCCCTTCTTCAGCTATGATCTCGGGAGCGGTAACACAAGTACCATGATCCCCACCAAAATCAACGATGGTCAGTGGCACAAGGTATCAGGGCGGGGATATGTGGTTATGCCTTGCTTAGTTGAAGCCATGGAGGATCTCCTCCGGAAGGTGTCATTTTACCCTTCCAGGTATTACCCCTAACAGTAGGGGAAAAGGGGAAGGGTTTTGGGAAAAGTCTAAAAGGGGTTCAGGGAATGGAGTTTGCCGCCCTCTCCCAGGAAGCTATGCGTATCTCTTTGTGTGTTGTGGGAAAGTACTTCCTGACCCACCAGAAAGTCTCAGCAGCCTCATCTGTAGGATGGAACCCTTTAACATACTTTAGATGAGTATAGTTTCTAAAGAAAGTATTTGGAGCACCTTCTAAAAGCTCAACCCTATATGCTAAAACCAATATAATTGTAGGTACAGAACATACTGTACAATCTTAGTATCCTGTTTTTGCTTGAATTGTGTTGATATGGCTGATAGAACCTGCTGACACATTAAAAAAGAAAAAGAAAGGATGGTTAGAGTATCTCTCTCCTGAGAGCTCACAAAATGCTGATTCATAAAGGTCTCTACACCTGTGTCAGCCTATAAAGATAAAGCTTCCATATCCCTCCCCACTTCTCACCAGTCCCACAAATTGTCAAAAAAACACATTTTTTAAACTTTCAGTGAAGTATATCACTTGATGCCAGATTCTAATATTAATTCATCTAAGTGTGACATCCAACCTTTGCAAAAGGGCCAGGCAAACTTAAAAATAAAAATTTAAGGTGAAGTCAAGCCCATCTTGGAAATTACAAATGGATTCTTTATACTTACTGACTTACAACTGATCATCATCAACTAGCATTCAATACTTCTTCTCTTCTGTTAAATATAATGCTTTTAAATATAAAAGACTGTCGAGCTGAGGAGTTAAGTAAAGACGCTTAATAATGATGTAAACTAAGGATTTTTTTTTATTTTTATTTGAGTTGGGGAGGGGGAGTTAGGTACTCTCATTGCAAACTGAAATTTGTATTTCACGGTCTTTCCTGACCTAAACTTTCATCTGACTGTGCTTTGACCAACATGTGCTAATCTTTTTCAAATTCTACAGTAGGCTATGATTCCATAGGCAGAGAATAACACTGTGGAATGAGCAAAAAAGTTTGAGAACCACTGCGGCATAAACTCAGACCAACATTTCATTGGTTCATAGTATACTTTTCCTCTATTTATACACCAGGATTCTTATACAACAAAACTAGTCT